ATTTCTTGCATACTGATCCTGTCTTGGCACTGAACAGTAAATGGTATTAGTGACTTCGGGCATAGATTGATCTAGGGCTCAGTCCATGCCCAGGGTCCTGTCTCTCCTAGCCCTGGGTTCTGTTTTCCTAGGGTGACCTCCATCAGGCAGATCATTCCCCTGCAGCAGACACCAGATACTCCAGGGCCAACTGCTCAGAGCCCCATCTTCTTCATGCCAGTCATTCAAGTAAAGCCTCCCATAACTCTCCCTGATCAGTGTGGCTTGGTCAGGTGTCCACCCATGAGTCAATCACAGTCACCAGCAAGATGGAATACTCTGATTGGTCCTACCTGATGCCAGCCTGAGCCTGAGTGAGGGGTATTCCTGACTCTCCTAAACTTGAAAATATTTCCAAAGAAGAGGTGCCAGAGGGGGCAACAACAGTGGATGGCTACTGCAGAGTCGTTATATAGGCAAGCCCTCAACTGCAGGTCCAGGGTGCCCTGGTGAGGTACTGGACAGGTCTCAGAACTGCCTGAGTTGAGAGCATACTACAGATGTCTACTCATGTCAGCCCATACTTCAAGGACAGAATCTGTTTGCCCCACAGACTTGCCAGAGTGAGTTCTGGGCACCTTGAGAACAGCCTTGACGACACACAGCCACCATCCTCCTCATGGAACCCCTGCTCCTCTGCCTGGCCATCCTCTATCAAGCAAGGGCAGCCAACTGAGCAGAGCCCTGCAAGGTCAGGGTGAAGGTACTGGGTTAGTGTCAGCTGGCAGATAGTCCTGTTAGTGAACATCACAATTGGCCCCTTGCTCAGAGGGCATGAGAAGGAGATACATAGCTCTTGTTTTCTGGACACGATGATGAATGCTCATGGGAGCTAAACAAGTCACAGGGGTGACAGGGAGGCCATGCTCACTCTGGATGGTATATGTATTTTAAGGACCACCCCCCAGCAGGTGATCTACCATCACCCTGTACTGGGGAAGTGTCCATCTACTGCCCACCCAGTATCCTTCCCTTCCCTGACATGAGAGCTTCCATGTATTCAAATAACAGCAAATGTCTCTTGGCCTCCAGTGCCCATTCCAGACCTAGAGGCAAATACTGATTAGCTAATTCAACCACACTGTGGGTCTATGGGCTATCTATTGCTGTTGTGGCCAGTTGGGAAAGGTGAAATTTGTAGAATGGAGCTTGTAGAAAAGATTTTCCTCCTTGATTAAAAGGGGCTGATTCATGCCAGGCATGGTGGCACATGCCTTTAATCCTAACACTTGGGAGGCAGAGGCAGGTGGATCTCTGAGAGACTGAGAGCAGCCTGGTCTACATAGTGAGTTCTAGGCCAACTAGGGGTACAGTGAGACTTTGTCTCAAAAAAAGAGGCGGGGGATGGGGGATAGATGATTCATCAGTCTGTGCCCTCTCTTTTTCCTCTCTGGAACTCAGATGTAATGGTCAGAGAAGCAGCAGCCATTTGGTAATCATGAAGCTTCAAGTATGTGGATGTAAGTCAACACACTAAGGATGGCAGAATGCAGGAGGGAGGTGCCTTGTCAGTCACCTGCCTGAGACTTTGTTCTGTGAGACAAATGAACTGCCATTGCTGCTTGAATCACTGTTAACCAGGCTCTCTCTCTCTGCTTTCCTTATCTGCACAACTGACAAGGCTCCATAGTAACCTCTGTCTACTACTCTTTCATCTTGGAAGGACCTTCCTTCCTGCTGCTCCCCCGGGACTTCCCTCAAGCTGTGAGCCAAAACAAACCCTTCCTTCTTTAAGTTGCATTTGTTAGGTATTTTATCATAGCAGCAAGAGAAAGGTAACCAATACAGTGAGTTTGGAATAGAACCCCCTGAGTTGGGAGACTGCTGCATGGATGGAGAGCATCCCCCACACCCCAAACTTCTTCAGCTGTCTGTCTCAGCTAGGGAAGACCTCACTCCTCCTGCATGTGTACTGCTGCTCCACAGGACCATGTCTCTGCAGTGTACCAGGAGTGGGAAACAGCCAGCATGAGGCTAGGTGCTTAGGGGCAGCAGGATAGTTTCTGCTCTCTGTCCTTTGGCATTTCAGACTGGCTATATTCTGAGTGACCTCAGTGGGCAGACCTCCTTGGTGACCCAAGGAGATATACAGTCCAAGGAAGAATAGCCATATTTAGCTCCAGCCATTTGATTGGAAGCTACTTGTTCTGAAATTTCACCTGCTGACGAGCACACTTGCATGTTAGCTGTGGCCTGCCATGTGAGCAAACTAAGAACTCCTTTCTCTCCGAGATAGACAAGAGCTGTGCTCGTGCTGTGTGTGGCTCACCAGGGAGCCAGCCTGCTGGGGGGCATTCAGTTGTGGGAGCTGTCAGAGGCCAAGCACCCCACGGTACCCCATCTCCCTGAAGGATGATCCCAGTGTATCTCCCTGGGTGCATCCTGAGTGCCCTTACCCCATTTCCCTGCCTGCATCTAGAGTGCTCATGTTGGACCTCCCCAGGTGATATCCCCATGTGCACTTGGCACTGTGGCCCACAGGGGCTCAGGAATGCTGAAGGCACCAGCTCCTAAGGTAGGACCACTCCCACCAAGGACAGAACTGGTACCCTGGGGGACAGAAGAGGAGGGCCCTGGGGTTCATGTGCAGTCTCAGACATTGCCTCAAACATGGCTCTCTGCTCCTCAAGAGATGCCTTAACAGGACATGGTGGAGCACATCTTTAATCCCAGCACTCTGGAAACAGAGCAGGCAGATCTCTGAGACTGAAGAAAGCTGGTCTACATAGTTCCAGGTCACCTGGGGCTACAGGGAGACCCTATCTCAAAAAGACAGAAAAAAAATGATGCCTTATGCGGATCTTGTGACCCTGGGCTGCATCCAGCACTTGACCAAGTACTCAGCATCTCTTCCAAATCCAATGCACCTAAGTTTGCTAGACCCTCATATATGTCTCCTCCTGCAGAGCTCCACATCCTCCAGGTCCCATGTGCTTACACTGCCATCGGAATTTGGCCAAATACTGGTGCAAGCTGCGCTTCTGGATATTCATATGAACCATGTTCACATCATTTTCCATAAACAGCTAATGAAAGGTATTTGATTTTTTAAAATTCGAGCAATAGTGGCTAATAAATTTAATTCTGGAGTTGACTTGTCTGGGCTTAAGTCCCAGATCCAGGCTTTGCTGCCAGCATGACCTTGGCCAAGGATCTATTCTCCTCTATTGCCTCAGTTTCCTCTGGTGGAAAGTTAGGCAATACTCATTTCTGGTCTGTGAGGCTACTATTAGAATTAACCAATTAGTAGCCATCCTGGCCCAGAAGCACTCTTCTACCAAGCACTATGTGAGCAAGCTCTGTCCTGTGACTCAAAGGCTGTCCTTGTAAACTTGGGACCCTGGCCCACAAAACAGCATGGCATTTCCAAAGGAGGGACATGAGAATGGCTATTTATGGAAACAGACCAGTATCTGTGAGTCTGCTGCCACCTAAGAGTCTCCCAGAGTGATGAAGTGCCTCCAGGCTCCATCTCGGGACATGTGATCTCTACGGTGAGCACTTCTGGAGTGCTGGCTTCAGTCCCAGTGGCTGGGGCCTTCCCGATAGTGTCCTCTGAATCTCTGAGACAAATATCCTGAGAAAGAAAAGAAAGGCTCATCCAGGAAAGAAGTGGGGGAACTTTCATCTCCTGTCACTTTTGCCAGGGGCAGTCTGTCTCCAAGCTGGATAGGAGAGGCTGGCTTGCCTGCTGTTGGAGAGTCAGTGTGGACCAGAGAGCCTGGACCAGGAGCCAGAGCCTCTGAGACCCTACACATAGTCATACACACAGACACAATACATGCATACACATGCAGAGACACATCACACATGGCACACATGTACAATCACAAAGACACAGCATATGCATGCACACAATCATACACACAGACATACACACAGACACAACACATGCACACAACATACATACGTACACGTGCAGAAACATATCACACACATGTATATTCACACATAAGGACACAGCACATGCACACACACACATGCACACAAAGGAGACCCATGAACAAGAAATACATGTGCACACAAACACAAGTACACATACATGAACAAACACATATACCCCATACAGACATATGCACACATTGGTCACATGCACACATGGACATGTACACACATATGCATGCATAAATATATAGTCACACACACAGCCAAAGCTGCAAAGTCCCAGGGCCCTTGTCTTCCTAATCTATGTAAAAGACCCAGCACAAAGTAAGCTCTAACAAATGCTCCATCATTTATGCATTCAGCAAATATTTGCCAAGCACCAGCTATGTGTCAGAAATTGTTTTAGGGACTGTGGATACAGGGGTAACCAGGCAGACAGGAACACACATCCTATGATCCAAGTTCACAGCTCATGCTGTGTGACTTTTCTGATACCCCTCCCTCTCTGATTCCAGTGGTCTCATCTGTAATCACCCCAGTTGGGGTTAGATTAGAGATGGAGGAGCAGGGTTTTTTTCTGACTGAAACTTCCCCTGAGCTCCGAGGACTTGGGGGAGCCTAGCTAAGATTTGCTTTTCTTTGATTCTGTTCGCCTGGTGCTGCAGGTAAGGTGGCTGTCTCCAGTCTGCTCTACCCTTCTTTCTCATCCCTCAATCCCAGAGGAGGGCTGCCAGTCAGATTAGGTTTGGCCAGGCAAGGTGGGCAAGCAAGTCAAGGTGGCTCTGACTCAGTCCTGCACGCACAAAGGCACCCCACCACACCCCGGCGAGCACCCACAGCACAGCCCCGACCAGGCCCTGTGTCCCACGCGGGTTAAGCGTGAGGTTTATCCCCTGAGGTTCTGTGCGGTGCCTCGCCCAGGGTCTCGCTCCTAGTGGGCCTAGGCTGGAGGCGGGTGGGGAGGGGTGGGGGTGGTGCAGGCTCGGTTCCGGGCGGGGCCGCAGGCTCCGCGTGCATGCTGATGAGCTCAGGCCGCGTCACTGCGCACCGGCGCCGTGGCTCCGGGGCGCGCAGGAGCGGGGCGCGCAGGAGCGGGGCGCGCAGGAGCGGGGCGCGCAGGAGCGGGGCGCGCAGGAGCGAGCGTGGCAGTCGAGTCCCAGCACCGCCTCCCGGCCCAGGCCGCTCCTGGCCGGCGGGCCCTGCGGACTATGCCGGCGGTGCCCGGTGCCCGCAGCCCGCGGCGGTCCCTGCTCCGCGGAGAGAGAGGGCGGGTGGTGGATGCCGGACGTGCGGAGTCCGCACGGCGGTGCTGAAGGGACAGCGCCCGCCCTTGCCCGGCTCATGGTCCCCACCGTGGCCGGCCCCGCCCAGGCTCCTGCGGCCCCGGAGCCCCGGGGATGCCCGGCGGGTGAGGAGGCCCCGCCCGAGCCGCGCTCATGGCGGTGGCCAGGAAGATCAAAACTTTGCTGACGGTCAACATCCTGGTGTTCGTGGGCATCATCCTCTTCTCGGTGTACTGCCGCCTGCAGGACCGCTCGGAGGCACTGGTGCAGGTCGTGCGCGGTGCCGACCGCCGGGTGCGCAACCGGCTCACCAAGGCGGGTGCGCTGGCCGACCGTGAGGCCATCCTGCAGCGCCTGGACCACCTGGAGGAGGTGGTCTACAACCAGCTCAATGGTGAGCCGCGGGTACCCCGGGATGGAGGGGAGGTAGGGTCCTGTGCCAGGGTATTGCTACGTCCTAGGGTGGATACCCACGCCCACTCCACAGCATCTACCAGGAGCCAGGGAGAAAGCTGCTCTGTGACCTGCAGAGGGACTCTGGGAGGCAACAGAAAGGCTGGGAGGCCTCCACTGGCAGGGGGTAGTGACAGGGTGATTCCTGATCCTCCTTCATTCATCTGGTGAACACTTGGGAACTGCCCCTGCCTCCAAACTTACTCCCCAAGAGAACTTGAACTTCTCAAGGAAGAGCTTCCCAGGTCCTGCCAGGAGGGCAGTGAGGGGTTCAAGGCAGTGCCTAGATCCTCAGGGTGAAGGATGGGGAAAATGAGCCTTACAGAGCTGTGTCAGGTGCAGGTAGTTCCAGATTCACAGTGAAGGACTAGAGGCACCAACAGGGCTGAGGGTTGTAGGTTGTACCTGTGTCCACAGTGAGGTGAGGGATCAGGGGACCCCTGCAGAACCATGAGGAGTGCAGACCATACCTAGATCCACAGTGAAGGGTCAGAGGAGCCTTACAGAGTTTTGAGGAGTGTAGACAGTGTCTAGGGTCCACAGTGAAGGACTAGGGGGTATATTACAGAGCTGTGGAGAGGGTCACAGGTGGTGCCTAGGTCCACAGCAAGGAACTAGGGGTATATTGCAGAGCTATGGGGATGCAGGCAGTGCCTAGGTCCACAGCAAAGGCCCAAAGAGCCTTGCAGAGCTATGGGTTTAGACTGGACACACTTTCTCTCTCTCTCTCTCTCTCTCTCTCTCTCTCTCTCTCTCTCGCTCGCTCTCTCGCTCTCTCGCTCTCTGGAGATGTGGAAGGAAGTCCCATGAGTGCTGCCCCTCTAAAGTGACTGGGACACAGGAGCAGTCCTATCCATTGAAATTGTGACCACTGGCCTGGACAATCTTCCTCCAAGGGTGCTCAGGTCTCCTACAGAAAGTTCTGTTGAGGGAAAAGCATGAGGTCCTCCTGGTGCCAGGTGGACAGGTGGGCTCATGGGTCCAGCAGGGCTTGGCAGGAGCCAAGCACCCACATGGACTGAGGTCATGGTGCCTAGGAGCCCCTGAAATTTGAAAGTGGCTGCTCTTGGTGGCCTATTTGCTTTACCATGATCAAGGGGGCTCAGCATCTGGATCATGGCAAGTCACAGTGGATAGTGGTAGCTGGCAGGAATGGCACATTTCCATTTGGGGGTGTAGGATGACCACAGTAACTCTGCCCCCATGTCTGGCTCTGTGTGAGTGTCAGGAAGGAGAAAGTTGGTGCATCCCTGCAGCACCAGAGGGATTCTACTTACTGTTCCATGTGACTTGGCAGAAGCAGTCCCACCAAACCCTTCTTTGGAAGTCCTGGGAACAGGCTCCAGTAGGGAATAACTAGGGTAGGTGGGCATCCTCATCAGGGTTCAAATTTCAAACTGCTGGCTCTCATTCCCCCCCCCCGTGTGTGTGTGTGTGTGTGTGTGTGTGTGTGCTGTGGTGTGCAAGGATTGCCTGGGGCCTCCTGAAGGAAGTGTGTTCCAGGCATGCCTCTGAGCAGTCTGGAGGGACGAGATGCCATCCTGGGATGCAAGCAACTTGCATGTCCTCAGATAACAGAACCTCGACTCCTTGAGAGCGCCTTTGTCACCCACGAGCTCCTAATCAACTCCATGGCTTCCCAGTCAGCCATTCAGCTGCAGCCACAGGGAAAGAAAGTTGAGTTGGAGCACTTGGTCATACCGTCAGCATGATTCATCTCCTGGAAGACACTGGGCCCCGTAATAGCGCGGAGCTTTATTGAAGTGTATTTGTCAGGGTGTTATGGTCTGTTTTATGGGAAGAACCGGAGGATTATATAAAAACATTGGCAGCACTTTGGGCTTGTGTAACATCATGCAAGCCAGCTGGCCCCATGAGCCATTTCCTTCCTTCCTTCCCCAAGGATAAGAAGGGCCAGTATCTCATGTCAGGAAAATCTGGGACCCTCGATCAACTTTCTTGACATTGAGGGGGGCAGAATAAAGTGCCTCCCTCTAACCTCTCTCCTTTCTGTCCCTTCTCCCCTGCTGGCTTCCTCTTGTTCCTCCTCTTCTTCTCCCTCCTTTTCTTCACCATTCTTTAAAAATATTTTATTTATTATTTTTATTTTATGTGTATGAGTATATTGCCTGCATGTAGGTGAGTGCAGCCATGTCGTGCAATGCCCACGGAGGACAGAAGAGACCGTCGGATCTCCTGGAAGTGGAGTTACAGACAGTTGTTAGCTGCCATGTGGGTGCTGGGACCCAAGTCTTCTGCAAGAACAACCAGTGTTCTTAACCACTGAGCCATCTCTCCAGCCCCTCTTCACCATTCTTTTACAATGCCTTCCCCCCCCACACCAAATCCCTTCCCCTCTGACATTGCTCCCTTCCTCCTCCGGTTCCCTTTCTCCTCTCTTGTTCTCTCTCTCTCTCTCTCTCTCTCTCTCTCTCTCTCTCTCTCGCTCTAATGAGCATAAGTAAAGCATTATTTACATCTCTCCTGAGACAGCTTTGTGTTCCTTTCTGATTCATATTCTTAGCAGTGTCTAAGCCCACTTGTCACTCAATATTTGTTCAGGAAATGACAAGGAAAGCCCGAGTCTAGCACCGGTCCCAGGAAGGTCCTCTGGGGAGAGCATCTCGGGGGAAGAGCAACTTAGGGGGAGAGCACAGAGCTTCAGGGGATGACATCTATTTCCATAAAGATTTTTGAGGCATACCTCTCCAGGCTTGGCTCAGGGCCTCTGGTTGAGAGCATGAGGGAAAGCTGTGGGAGCTTCCTGGAGGAGGTAGCCTGCTCTCCCTGTCACAACCTGTTCTATTTTAGTCCACAGATGTGGGACTGATTCCTGAGAGTTTCCACTTACCCAGCTGCATTGAAAGCCAAGAGGGAGCAATGCAGAGCCAAATTAATGTATGGCTTACATATGCTGGGCCTGTGCTCCTCTTCAAACTTTTTTGGCTGGGGAGGTGTTGAAAAGAGGAGGTTGGGGGTGGGGTGTCTTCTTTTGAGCCAGAAGGAGTAGAAGAGGGCATTGGCATGGGGGTATGCCATTCTCCTTACTCCCCTTCAGTCTCTTGACCTTCATGTGGTACATCTCATTGACCTTGGAAAAGCACCCAGAGAGGTGCTTGAGGAGTCATTTCTAAAATCAAAGCATTTGTGCACATTCATTCCTCTAATTTATGCATCTCTGGCCCATGTGCATTCACTTTACTTTACAGTCCCATGTTCAAAATCATGGCTGGTCTTAGAGGTGGGATAGAAAGATGGAAGCCTGGAGGTAGGATGACTTGCCCAGGCCGTCTAGGAAGTCAGCGGTGGCAGCTGCTTGAGGCACAAACTTCAGGACCTGCAATTGTCCAATTGTCACAAGTTCAAGTTAAAAAAAACCAGCAGATCTTGCTGTGGGCCCCAGATGCTGGTCAGAGAGGTCCTGGTACAGGTGCTTTATCTGCTCCACAAACACCCTGCACTCCTTTGGCTTGCCCTCCTCTGGGCTGCACTCTCCTAACCAGGAACTCACCCACTACACCTGTGCAGAGACCTGTCCTTTTGTCCCCTGCAAGTGGTGACTTTGTCTGTGGTTCCATCTCTAGTGTCCAAGGCCCAGGCTGGGTGGCACACCCATGACAATCTGAGTAAGTGAATGTTTCTCTGAGCCACTTATTGGTTTTGCTAGAATAAGGGTATGAGTATTTTAGGAAGTGACTATATTCTACTTCCCTGCTTGTGGGCAGAATTGCTGAATGAAAAATGCAGAAGGAGCATTGCCTGAGAGTTCCGTCCTGTCAGGGTTCAGAGGAAGCAGCTCAAGTGAAGGGGATGAACGGGATGTAAGGGGTGCAGAGCGAGTTGGTCTTGCAGGAGCACAATCCTTCTCACACTGATCCCAGGTTCTTCTGCTCTGTGTCCATTTCCTGTCAGGAAGTGTGTCCCACAGGCTGGGCATCCTAGCACAGTCCCTACTTCAGAAGCCCTGGCATACAGTTAAGAAGGAGGGGCTAGAGATGGTCAGAAGACCAAGGTGGTTGTCAAAGGGCATGAACCCCTGAGTAGTCTACACAACAGTGGTACCCCAGGTCTCTACTGGGAAGCCCCAACCTCCCAGTCATCATGAGTTAGGCACAATGAGTTACCCTCTCCGAGCTAGAGCAGAGGTCAGAGAGAAGAGGAGGGAGGCAAGAAGGAATGCTGGGTGACAGTGTGGCTTTCCCTCGGCATACTCGGCTATAAAAGGAGTAAGGATTTCCAGAGTTTTCACTGTGAACCAGAAGCAAGGCATTTATGTTGCAGCTCCCTGCCTGCTGCTTTGCCATGGTCCCAGCTCTCCATCCCACCAACAGCCTTTTGCTCAGAGTGCAGCTGTATTCATAAAACATAAGCTGAGCACATTTGTGCTGTGCAGGTGACCAAAGGCGGGGGTGGCAACAGGCAGAGGGGCAAGTGGAAGACACAGTGAGAGTAGGGTGTGGGGCAGGACCATGGAGCATCTTCTGTCTCCCTTGGCAGGTCCATCATACATCTTTCTTGAACCTCCAGGTATGCAAGAGCTCTGGCATCCAGGAAGGGCTCCTTTGGGAGTTTCTCCTAATGGGGAAACAGGAAAGATATTCAATGTGCAGAGAATGCGATTGCTGGCAGAAGGTGTTTCTATTCCCCTGCAAATTTTACTTCCCAAAGTGGCTCACTGATGGATCCTGAAGGCCTTCCTGCTTCAGAGGCCTTTGTCCTTCTGAGTGTTTACTTTCCAAACCACTATGGTCTTGCACAGCCCAGCCAAGCTGCCAGAGTGATAGCTGCAGTTTGTTGGATTGGCTGACCTCCACCCCTCCTCTCCTTTCACAGCTTGCCCACCTCACCGAGTGACAACAAAAAGTGATAAAACAGTGGCTACCTCACTGGAGTGTGGCCCCAGCTTTGCTGCTGTGCAGGTTCAGGGTGTGTGATGGGCCA